CCCACTCTACATTACTGCCTCCTTGGACAATGTTGGGAAGCAGGTGAGGTTTACATTCAAAGCATTCTTCCTTACCCTTAAGTTTCTTTCTTCCATTTAATCAGGTTCCATTTCTTTCCCTATAACAATGAGCTCTTGGGAAAGGATCTGATGGACTCATTCACACAAAGACTGATTAACTTAATTATTAGGATCCTCTTCCAGGTTAGGGTCCTCTTCCAGGACCCTAATGGCTAATGATTTTGAACATCCTTTAATGTGTTTATTTACTATCTATTCATCCTCTTTGATGAAGTGTCAGTCCAAGTTTTTTGCCTGCTTTTTAATTGTTTTCTTATTGTTGAGTTTTGAGAGGTCTTTATATATTCTGAAAATGAGTCTGTTGCCAGGTACAGGATTTGCAAATATTTTCTCCCAATCTGTAGCTTGTCTTTCATTTTTTCAAACAGTGTCTTTGACAAAGCAAAAGTTTTAAAATTTAATGAACTCGAATTTATCAATCTTATCTTTTATAGATTGTGATTTTTGGTGTCAAGTGTATGAACTCTTTGCCTACCCCTAGGACATAAAGATTTTCTCCTATATTTTATTTTATTTTATTTATTTATTTATTTATTTATTTATTTATTTATTTTTATTCATTATTTTTATAGCCCATGATATGTAGGTATATTGCCTATGTTTTAATCTAAACATATTATAGTTTCATATTTTATGTATAGAACTACAGTCTCTATTTGTATAAGTTCCAAGGTTTAGGTCAGGGTTCATATTCCAACACCATTTTTTGAAAAGACTATTTTTTCTCCATTGAATTGCATTTTCACTTTTATCAAAAACTAATTGGCCATATTTGTATGAGTCTATTTCTGTTCTCTCTAATCTCTTCCATTAATCTATATGTTTATTCTGTTGCCATTATATTGCTGTCTAAAATACTGTAGATTTATAGTAAGTCTTAAAATTGGGTAGTGTGGTTCTTCTAATATTATTCTTTTTAAAAAATAATTTTTTGGTTACTCTTTTAATAGTTCTTTTGCCTTTTCATGTACCTTTTACAATGATCTTATTTATCTGTAAAAATTCCTGCTAGAGATTAGAATTGAAAATTGATCCATAGATCAAGTTTTATAAAATTTACATCATTACTATGTTGAATGTCCAATCCATGAACTTGGTATGTCTTCAATTAGTTAGATCTTTGAGATCCTTCAAAAGAAAGCATTTTGTAGTTTTCACCATACAGATCCTATATGCACTTTGCTTGGTTCATACTAAGGGTTTTCAATTTGAGGAGATATTGTAAATGGTATATATATATATATATATATTAGTTTTCTTTTGTTTTTTTCCCCAAAATCCATCTTGAAATGTAAATGGTATTTTTAAAACATTTTGTTTTTCTAATTATTGCTGCTATATTCTATTATTGCTGATATGTAGAAATATGATTAATTTGTGCATATCCATGTATCTATAACTACTAAACTCACCTATTATATTAGTTCTAGGAATTTAAAAAAAATAGATTTCTTAGGCTTTACTATGTAAACAATTATGTTGCCTGAAAATAGGACAGTTTTATTTCTTCCTTTCCAATTTGTATGCCTCTTATTTATTTTTCTTGCCTTATTGCACTGGCTGATATACTTCCAAGGATGATGTTGAGTAAGAGTGATGAGAATGCATGCTTTCTAAAATATAGGTGCCCTTTATTAGGCTGAGGATGTTTCTTTCTCTTTCAAGTTTCCTGACAGTTTTTATTGTGAATGGAATTTTATTAAATGTTTTTTTCTCCATGAATTGCACTTCAACATTAAAGTTTACTTGTTTATGGTGTATTATTCTTTATGTCTATTGCTGGACTTATTTTCTAATATTTTGTTGAAGATTTTTGCACCCATGTTCATGAGGTATATTGGCCTGTAGTATTGTTAAACAGTTACCCTACTGTATAATAGAACACCAGAATGTATTCCTCCTATCTAAATATAACTTTGTACCTGTTGACCAATCTCTCCCCTTTCTTCCCTACCCTCTGCTCTCCCCAGCCTGTGGCAACCACTATTCTACTTTCTACTTCTATAAGGTCAACTTTTTTAGATTCCTCATATAAGTGAGATCATGCAGTAGTTGTCTTTTTGAGCCTGGTTTATTTCATGCAACATAATGTCCTTTAGGTTCATCCATGTTGCTGCAAATGACAATATTTCATTCTTTTTTATGGTTGAATAGCATTCCATTGTGTATACATGCCACATTTTATTTATCCATTTGTTTGTTGATGGACACTTAGGTTGACTCTATATCTTAGCTATTGCAGATAGTACTACCATAAACATGAGAGTGCGGATAGCTCTTTGACATAATGATTTTATTTCCTTTGGATATATACCTGCATCAAAAACCTCATCAGAAGATACAATAATTTTTTTCAACTATCAAAACTATAGTTTATGATAATCTGTATATTTCAAAATAGCTAGAAAAGAAAAAAAGAACCTCTTTATCAAGGAAGAAATCTCCCACATCACTCTAGCCCTGTTTTTTCCTGCAGGTTTTCTCTCCTGGCTTCACATATTAGGAAACCTGGGTTTCCTATTGCCATGAGACAGCCCTTCTCTTGGTAGTTTGATTGTTGTATCATTTGAACATAATTTGATTTTTTGAGGAATCTCTACACTGTTTTCCATAGTGACTATCTTAATGTACATTTCTACCAACAGTATATAATAAGAGTTCTCCTTTCTCCACATCCATGCCAGAATTTGTTATTTTTTGGTCTTTTTTATAATAGCCATTCTAATAAGGGTAAGATAATATTTCTTTGTGATTTTGATTTGAATTTCTGTGATGATTAATGATGTTGAGCACTTTTTCATATAAATGTTAGCCATTTATATGTCTTCTTTAGAGAAATATCTATTCAGGTATTTTGTCCATTTTTAAATTTTATTATTATTATTTGCTATTGAGTTGTTTACATTCCTTACATATTCTGGGTATTAACCCCTTGTCAAATGCATAGTTTGCAAGTATTTTATCCCATTCCATAGGCTGTCTCTTCATTTTTTTTTTTTTTTTTTTTTGAGACAGAGTCTCGCTTTGTTGTCCAGGCTAGAGTGAGTGCCGTGGCATCAGCCTAGCTCACAGCAACCTCAAACTCCTGGGCTCAAGTGATCCTCCTGCCTCAGCCTCCCGAGTAGCTGGGACTACAGGCATGCGCCACCATGCCCAGCTAATTTTTTATATATATATCAGTTGGCCAATTAATTTCTTTCTATTTATAGTAGAGACGGGGTCTCGCTCTTGCTCAGGCTGGTTTTGAACTCCTGACCTTGAGCAATCCGCCCGCCTCGGCCTCCCAAGAGCTAGGATTACAGGCGTGAGCCATAGCGCCCGGCCTCTTCATTTTCTTGATTGCTTCCTTTCCTGTGCAGAAGCTCAGCCCAGAATTATTAAAGGTGAGATTTCTGGGTGTGATTCAATAATGAGACACGTCAGAGGAAATTTTCTTTTGGAGGCAGCAATAACAGGATGGAACACAAGTGTTCACAATTTCCTCACAATGTGGTTGTTTACGTTTTGCTGTCCTTAGACAATGCCTACATTTGAAAATCATCCAGGTCTTTGGAAAGGAAGTAGCAGGGGACTAGCATTTTTTTGGAACACCTCCTTCTCATATATATGCCTACTTCTAGTAATATTGCCCTCTGCAGCTCTGATGTGTTACAGCTTTTATTATCTCAGAAATCTCTCTCTCTCTTTTGCACATGCTCTCTCTCTCTCTCTCTCTCTCTCACACACACACACACACACACACAAACATGCACACAACAATTTCCTTGCTGAATAATGCAGATACTATGTATGTTTTCTCCTGGCCTTTTAGCTGATAGAACATATACTCAGGACATGAGCACTAACTAAGGAGAAGAAATAATTTATCATGCAAACCAGAATACTTTTGAAAGCGAAAGGGAATGCTATTATTAATACAAATGCCAAGACAGCTGGACCCCATGAAGTGCATCATAAACAACACTACAGCTGGGGATAAGTGCTCAACAGTGGTTTGAACCATAGCTAGGAGAAACTTGTGGCAACAGTCCTGACCTCAGTGGATTTGAAGAGTAACCTCCAGGGATGAAATAATTCAGCCATTCAGAACCTTGTCCCCGAGTTTAAAGGGGTTTCCTTGAGCACAATATCTTCTCATATTCACAATCACTTTGCAACAAATGTGTTATTATTCTCACATCAGCGATAAGGAAATAGAAGCTTAGAGAGTGAATACAAAATGTCCAAAATCCATATGGCCAGAATTTGGTAAAGCTAACACTAGGACTTTGCCCTCTCTGATTCCAAACACCAACCTGGAAGCCATATCGTGTCCTGAACTAGATGCAGACTTTGGTTGCAATGGATCATGGTTCAAATCCCAGCACTGGTGCTATCCCAGCTCTGTTTCCTTGGGTGACCTGCATGGTCACAGTGCAATGGTGAGAGTAGTAGCCATGTTTACGCAGTGCTTGCCACGTCCCCTGCTCGGTACCGAACACTTTCCATATGCCTCATTCATGCCTCACACTAACCCCATCTTGGAGATACTGTTAGAAACCACATTTTGCAAATGAGGGAAATAGTCTGAAAGAGGCTGGAAAAGTGCCCACTGCATGGGAGATACATGGTAAACACTAATTTCCCTTCTCTCCTGGCCACATTGTAAGTCTTGAACCATTCTGTTCATAATCCTGTTCTGGAAGGTCTTAGGAAGTGATCCCTTCTCCTAATGAATGTGTCTGCTTTTCTATTTTTTCTAAAGGCTCAAGGATTACTGGTTATATGATGCTTTTTTGTTTTTGTTTTTCTTTCTTTCTTTTCTTTCTTTTTTTTTTTTTTTGGTGTGGCCAGAATCCCTTCCACTTTCTTGAAAGCATTTTGTCCCATGCAGTGGTGTGGCCATGCATAAGAAACAGCAGGTGGTGCCAGATGACAGATGGTGTGGGAGCCCGTTCCCCAGTGGGAGGGGGCGCGAGCGAGCAGGCAGGCAGGCAGCTGCCAGGAGCTCTTCCCTGCTCGCTCCCGCCTCGCTCTCAGAAGCTCGGATCCAGACGCACGCGAGGCGCTGTCCTTTCAGCACCGCAAGCTCAGGCTGAGGAGGGAGGACTCCTGGCCGTCCTCCTCCTCTTCAAATTGGCTTGAATCTGCTCTGACCCCCAAGAGTGCAGCACAGTAAGTAGGCGTTTGTTTTTGATATAACCACTCCCCAATATCCTCCAACCCCTTACCAGCCCTTTCACCCCCATGACAGCCCTGTTTTGTCTAATAACGTTCCATCAGCAGGACTGATGAGAGAAAATCAGTTGTGCTAAGCTTTTAAGGGTGGGAAGGGAGCACCATTTGACTTCCCAAGGGATCTGGAGAGGAATAAATGTGATATGTTTATTTAGTTGGCAATCTTGCAATGTGGGGGCTGCTAACTTTCCATGGAACCAAAAAAAAAAAAAAAAAAATGGCCCTTCGCTATTGAGGAAATGGAGGCATTCCATGGCTGAATAACACGATCGGGCCAAGCCAGCCTGTTTTGTTTTAGGAAATTGCAGCTCATGTCCAATCTACATATGATATAAAAGGGTAACCGTAGAGACATCAAATGTTTTCATTGTGTTTTAGGAGTACCAGTGAAGAAAAGCCAATATAATAAAATAGCAACCAGAGTGGGGAGGTGAAATTCATCATACTGCAGGGGGACCCTGAATAATGGATTCATTTTGCACTACGGATAAGCTTTTCACTGGGGTTGTATGAACACTTTAGCTTTAGTGTCTCGGGTGTTTTAAGCTTGTATTTTTTTGTGTATAGGTCTGTGATTTTCCTTGAGTCCCCCAAATTTAAGGGCTGTTGAACCCTGAGGGCAGGTGGCATGTTTTGATGATTAAAGAAGTTTTAATGGACAATGGGAATCATGTCAGAAAATCTAGTGGAAGATCAATCACTGATCACTAGATTGAAAGCCACCCGAGCGGAGCTGTTGAGGACAGCGCTATTTTCTCTGCCGTCAGCCCTCTCTTTCCTGCCTCACCTCCGGCTGTAACCAGAACCCCACTGCTTGCCTTAGGTCTGGGAAGAAAGGCGTAAGGATGGTGAAGCTGAACAGCACCCCCAGCGAGAAGGGAACCAAGCCGCCTTCAGTTGAGGATGGCTTCCAGACCGTCCCTCTCATCACGCCCTTGGAGGTCAATCACCTGCAGCTGCCTGCTCCAGAAAAGGTAAAGCAGGTGCTCGTCCTCCCATCAGCCCCCATCGCAGGAAATAAAGCAGCAAAAACCCCCACCCCCAGCCCTTTTATTCCCTCATCTGCCAAATATGCTCCCTTTCTTGTAAAACGTAGTTATTCCTTCCAGAGATAAGACATCTCTTGTGCTATTTCAGATTTATGGTAAGTGTTTATTCATTTTTTTTTTGGTTCATAGCTACGTACACAGGCAAGCAAATTAATCTTTCCTTGTTCAAGTTTTATCACAGCATATGAATACTAATAAGCTTCTAGATGATGACAGAGAAAATCCATCTCGATTATTTTGGGGAGGTGTTTCAAAAATTGACTGGTATAGATGTGAGGACAGAGGATTGGATTCACTCCAACAAGCATTCAATTTGCACCTGCTAAGGCCCTGTCCCTGTACTGGGAGATGGTTACAAAAAGACAAAATTAAAAAATCTGTTTCCACTAAGATAAATTAATATAATGCATCCCGGTAAATGCTATAACTGAGCATGACAAAGATTATGAGAGTGCATGGGAGGAAACAACTAAATTCTGTCAGGGTGGGGAGATGGAGGGAATGGTTTGGGGCTGGGACAAGGAGGACAGGTTAGCTAAACTGCAGAGGAGAACATTTGAATTGGGTTTCTAAAGGTGAGTAACACTTGGATCCAGGTAGAACACAGGGGAAAGACATTCCTAAGGTGCAGGGCACACTTGTGCAGAGCATGGAGTGCTTGTAGAGACCAGCATAACTGCAGGAGAGTGTCTTTGGGGGAGGCGTGGCTGGAAATGAGTGACTGGCTGATGGCACATCTCCTGACATGGGAGTGGTCCACGAAGAATGGAGGTGGGCATTCATGCAAAGGTGGGGTGCAGGGGGGTTATGGACACATGGACACAGGTGAGAGAAACCCTATCATTTAAGATCCACCTGAGGCAACTTGGGGTTTATTATGTGAGCTTTTGCACGCCATAAGGGAGAGATTTGGAGGGCAGTGATGAAGTTCCCTGGCTGAAGAATGAACAATGGATCATTCCATCTGTTTGACTCTCTCATTGGCACCTGCAGGAGGGCATTGTGTGTCTTAACCAATTGGCTCCATCCAATCAACAGGAGAGAAGCCAAAGCTAGATAAAGGGCCTGCAGGTTGGCTGGGGTTGAGTAATTTGTTTTGAAAGTATAGAGGCTGTCAACATGACAATGTGCAGGGCTGGGGTGGCAGAAATAGAAAATTCTTGAGCCATCCTGAGAAACTGATGAATTCTTTAAAAATAAATTGTAAACAGGCAATTAACAGAAAAGAAATGAGAGGGGATAGTATTAATTGTGTGCCTGCTACATGTATATCAGAGGTTCTTGGGTTTTGACTGCATATTAGAATCATCTGGGAAGCTCTCTAGGCTACACCCCAGAACAATTCTATCATTGTCACTGGGGGTGAGACTCAGGCATCAGTATTAGTAAAGTCTCCTCCAGTGGCTCCTGTGTGCAGCCAAAGTTGGGAACCGCTGTTTAGGTAAAAATTGCCCTGGAAGTCAGGACTATGCATTCGCATTTATAGATGGGAATTTGGGGAGTTATCCAAGCTCACAGAAGGAATAAGTGGAAATTCTGGAATTTGAACCCAGATGTAAGTGGAAGTTAAATAAGAGAATGGAAGATATTCTATTGAGGTATTGTGAAGCCAGCAGCTACAGACTTGTGGATCTGCATGTCTCTCCCTGAGAGGTATGCAAAGAAAAGGTGTGTGATGAGGTCCCTTTTCCCCCTAACCTTCCATAGTCCTACACATCAGCCAGAGATTACTATGGCCTCTGTCTTCTCTTACTCTCCCTCCCCTCCAGGGATTTATTTTTTTCTTGAGAGGGGAGACAGGCCCAATAACCCTTGAGCATCCAGTTCAGATGTCCCAGAAAGCTGTCCCCAAACCTGAAGGATAAATCCGTTGTCTGTCATGGTAGACCTGCACTCATGGAAGGGGAAACCAATGTATCCTGAAAGATGCACTGGGTCCCAGTTTGACCACAAATCCCTTACGGGGGCAAATCAAAGACTCCCTCTGATGCTCATGACAAAGTCTTTCACCAGGTGGACCTCAGTTTCCTCCTCCGTGAAGTGGGGAGAATCACGCAAACCTCATAATGGTCATAGCAAAGTTAGATGTGGCCTCATACATAAAGTGCCTGGCACAAAACTAACCATAAGAGAAAAACAGTTATCATTTTCAAGTGCTTCCCAAATGCTAGATGCTGCCCTAAGCTATATGTACACCACACACACACACACACACAAACACACACACACACACAATTTTCTTTCATCCTCTCAGTCGTTAATAGGACCCAGTGAGGGAGTTGTTACTTTGATCCATATTTTAAAGACACTCAGACACAGAATGGTAAAGTAACTTCTTAAAGCAAATAGCTAGTAGAGCATCCTGGGTGCAGGACCCAGATGGTGCTGTTCTAGAACCTTCTACCTCAGCGGGAAAAAGGAGGGAGCGTGGCCCAGACTTGGTCTCTAGCTCGAGCTCAGTCTCTGACTCGCAGTGTGACTTGATTCTCCTCCCCTGGGACTCTGCCTTCTCTGAGTGGGGAATTGTATTAGCAGTTTTCTGTGCTAATATTTAGTTTTATAATCATTACAAGAGTAAACATGCTTTTCCCCCTGATGTTAGAACAGATGTGTTAAAAGTAAATTCTGCTCAAGAAGGCAAAGCTCCTCCAAGTGCTAGAAGAGTGTGGTAGCTGCCAGCACGTTGCACTCACACCCCCCACCAGCCTGCTTGGTTGGGGACTCGGTGCGAGTTCTCAACTGCTCGGCCTCCGCCCCCCGCTGTGCGAGACGGGCGCCAGGCTTCCGGGACTCCCTCGCAGGGCCACTGCAGAGGAGGCGAGGGGCGCCGACGCAGGCCCAGCCCTGTGCGGCCACTAAGGGCTTATCAGAAAGAAGCATATTCGACCCCAGTGTGAAGTCATGGCTTTCCCCTTTGAAAATGTAACCTACGGAGCGTGCTTGGTCGGTAGTGCTGGAAATCATCTTCAGCGTCATTCATACTAAACGCCCTCTGGCAGTGTGGAGTCCGAACATCAGGAGAAAGCGTTTGGAGGCTAACTGGAGAGGGCGGGCATGTCTGAAGTACTTGCTCTGGGCTGGGGAGGGGGCTATGCCGGCATTCATGTCTGTTACTTTGGTTAATCTTCCCAACAGCCCTGTGAGGCAGGTGTTAGTGCACCCATTTCACTGATGAGGAAACTGAGGCTCAGATGAATGGAAGTGGCCTGCCCAAGCCTCACTGATGCAGAGTGGGAGGGCTAGGGTTAGAGCCCCAGTGTACCAATGCCCCGACTTTTCCTTCTGCACCGTGCTGCCTTAAGTGGAGAGAAGCCCCTGTCCTGGGAGGTCTCCCAAACTCTACAGTCCCTCGTGTGTGGCCATAGCTGCTCCTCGGCTCTCCCCGGCCGGCTCCTGGACCTGCAGGCCAGCGCTTCTCCAGAGAGAGCACCACGGCCCCCAGGGCCTCCGCCTGCCCGAGCTGGAGGGACTGGCGCCTGCCTGGGAGAGGGGTGCTCGCGCTGGCCTCCCGTCTCTTCTCCCTGCCGCTCCGCTCACTCTCCGTGCTGCTGCTGAGCTTCCTCGGGGCTGTGACCAGATCTCTCCCACGAGACGCTTTCCGCCCCCTGCACCCCCCAGGGCACTGTCCCCCGAACCTTCGCTCTGCTTCCCAGCGCTTCGTCGCCAGGCCTGTGCGCGTCCCCTCCCACGTGGCTGGCACGCAGCCGGCCGGACCTGCCCGAGCACTGTTCTCAGTGGGGCTGTCTTGCCTGCCAGGGGGACTTTGAGCAATGTCTGGGACATTTTTGTCACAACTGGAGGGAGGATTCTACTGCCATCTTATGAGCAGAGGCCAGGAATGCCGCTAAATGTCCCACAGCGCACGGGATGTCCCCCCAGGATTATCCTGCCCCGCGTGTCAGCATGCCGAGGCTGAGAAGCCCTGCCCTGGAGCTTTCCACAGTCCCCAGGCGCCGGTGCCTTCTCCTCCTGAACACGCCGTCCCTTCTGTCCAAAGCGCCCTTCTTCCCCTTCGCTTGTCCGATAAGCCCATACTCACCTTCCTGGACCCAGTTCTGACAGGGGCTGTCCTGGACCCTTCCCTGGCCACCCGTAAGTGCGGCAGAGCTGTGCTTGTCACACTGGCAGGTGTTCTCCACATCTGTCCCTCCCCCGTCCCTCCAGCCAGTCTCCTCAGGCACCACGCATGCACCAGGCAGCGTGCTGGGCCACGCAAACGCAGCCGCGAGGACAGCACGGCCGCTGTCTTTGCGGGCTTCCAGTCCGGTGCGGAAGAGGGCCTTCAAGCTAGCTGTCAGACAAACGGAAGCACACAGACGCACACTGAGAGAAGGGCTCTAAACAACAGAGTGAGGTGTTGTAATGTAAGGAAAGCAAAATTTAGGGGACCTACTTATGACGGGGGCATGGCCAGGAAGCGGCGCTGGCTGAGACCTGGGGCGGCCTGCGGGCAGGCACTGAGGAGGGCGGAGGGGCAGTCAGGGCCGGGGTGGGCTGCCGCACGCCTGGCGAAGGGGATCCAAGGGAGCGAGGCGGGCGGTGCCCATTCACATGGGGCCTGGTGTCTTCTTTGGGAAGCGGTTTAAAGCAGGAGAGGAACAGGATCAGAGCTGGATTTTGGAAGATTGCTCTGGCTGCTGTGGGCCACCGTAGGGACAAAAGACCGGCCCAGCCTCATGCCCCGCATGGGGCTCCTCTGCCTCTTTCCCTCCTATCAGTCCTCTGTGCAGCGCCAGAGTAGTTTCCCCCAAATCGGGGGGCTGGGTGTCCTGCAGCACCCCCACCGTGAATGGCGGAAGAAAAATGTGGAAGCCACGAGGCCAGCGAGAAGGCCACTGCCGTGTGCAGGAAGGAGGGTGGGGGCTGGGCCGGGACGGTGGCAGCAGGAATGGGAAGGCGGGTGGTATGTGGAGGCGGACCGGACC